TCCTTTACCAACTTCTTTCACAACCTCTTTGGTACGTAGCTTTCCACTGTCCTGCTACTGTACCTTCTTTGCATACGTACTTGGGCGTTCCGATCAGTCCGTCCTTCGCTAGCCAACACCTGCAGTGCACTCTACCTATTAGAAACAACTGCGAGATTGTACTGTAATGTACTGTCCTACATATTTGTCAAATGCCTGTGTACAATGAGTGTGGAGGCAACAAACCGTTTTCAGTATGGAGGCAACAAACCCTTTTCTTCCTTGCAAACAATGTAAACGTTATATTGCGCAAGTGACTAAATTTCGTTATCCAAATTGGTACTGTCTTACAACTCCAACTTCTTTGGCTTCTCCCAAGTAAACTCAGGTTCTTCCCTTCCAAAGTGGCCATAAGCAGCTGTTTTGCGGAAAATAGGGCGACGCAAGTCCAAATCACGAATAATACCACCTGGTCGAAGATCAAAATTCTTCTCAATGATTTTGATCAAGTCAGCATCTGTCATTCCTTCTTTGGTTGTGCCGTAGGAATCGACGTACACGGAAAGTGGGTGCGAGATTCCGATGGCATACGAAAGCTGCACCAATGCTCGTTTGCATAGCCCAGCTGCAACCAAGGACTTGGCCACCCATCGAGCAGCGTATGCACCAGAACGATCGACCTTGGTTGTATCTTTACCCGAAAAGGCACCTCCACCATGAGCACCCCATCCTCCGTATGTGTCGATGATGATCTTTCGCCCAGTTAATCCAGCATCACCATGTGGTCCTCCAATGACAAAGCGACCGGACGGATTCAAATGATAGACGGTGTTGTCGTCCAGATATTTTTCTGGGACCACTGGCTTGATAACATGTTCCATTAAGTCACTCGCAATTTGCTCGTTCGTAACTTCCTCGGAATGCTGGCAAGAGATAACAATTGTGTGAACACGGACGGGAACTGGGAGTCCATTCTCCATATTGTACTCGCATGTGACCTGAGTTTTTGCGTCTGGACGAACCCAATCGCAAGTTCCGTTCTTTCGCACTTCAGTAATCTTCGAGCCGAGTTGAGTTGCAAGCATATGGGTTAATGGCATAAGAGTCTCCGTTTCATCAGTGGCATAACCAAACATGATGCCCTGATCTCCTGCACCAAGATCCTCAATCTTCTGGGCATCCACCGATTGCGCAATATCAGGTGATTGTTCTTCGATCGCGACGATGACGTTGCAAGTCTTGTAGTCAAAACCTTTTGCAGGATCGTCATAGCCGATATCCTTTACAGCATCTCGAATGACCTGCTCATAGTTCACTGTTGCCGACGTCGTGATCTCTCCAAAGATCATTACCATTCCAGTCTTGCAGCACGTTTCGCAAGCAACTCGGGACAATTCGTCCCCAGCTAGGCAAGCATCTAACACAGCATCGGAAACTTGATCCGAAAGCTTATCTACATTTGGAAGGTCGAAAAGAGGGAAATGACAGTTAGAGCCATGATGATCGACTTGATTTATTTTGCTCTTCCAAAACAGTGCTTTAGATGTCTATGGGAAATTCGCCAGGATACGCACCTGGATGCCCTTCGTTCACAGATTCAGACGTAAACAGAAAAGTATTCGACATGGTTCGATTCTACAAGTCTCAAGTAGTATGCACTCGCCACAAAACGAACATTGCTGCGAACATTTTTTGCATTGTTGATGCGCGTCACATGCGCGATCGCGATATTGAATTTGATCAGGCAAGACGGTAGACGGACTGCCTGGCAAGAGAAGACATCTGTCTTCACGCCAACAGTCAATACATTTCGTAGACCTGGAACAAACTCTACATAGTCAAATTAGTCAAACTGATTTATCTAAATAGTCAGGTCCAGATCTGCTGTTTAGAGGCATCGATAACAGGACAAATGCCCACAATTGAATGCAATAGATTTAAAAATGAATGCAATAGATTTAAAAACACTTTCCTATGTGTGAATAATTGGTTGGACCACTTCCTGATAATTGATGCTGTGTTTCCCATCCCTGTAGCCAATGTACTGGATCTACGTGAGAGAAACTAAAAAAGCTCTATCTTTGAACGTCAAAATCGGAAAGTGGCTTCCAACAACACTTTCCCCACATATACTCTTATTGGACATCTTCTTTGATATAAATGACTTCCAACCGTGTGTTTAGTTCTTTGGGTGGCCAAATTTGGCAAGTAGTATTTAGAGGTTGTAGGTACTATTTTGGAGCAGTCAGTGTAGTCGATTTCACGTACATTTTTTACTGGATCTATGAATGTATTGATTTGTATTGTCTGACCAGGAAACGGTTAAGCGAAGTAACGGTAATTTATTGGACGAAATAATAATAATAACGGAGACATTAATCGTTAATATGCTACTCCGTGGGCATTCGATTGCCGGTGAAATATTTGGCTGTAAAGATCAAGTACTGTGAAGCGGTGAGTCAACAACAAGTTTGAACCATGTGAGGCATCTGTATCCTGAACAGAAGTTGCTCAAGTCTACCAAAAGGGTAAGGACTTCTCCCGCGGCGTGGCGAGGTAAATTCGGGGCTCATAAGGTCCCGCGAAAAGTTGTAGAAGCCGATCAAGATCAGCAGGACGCCCAGAGAGAGACAGATCGACGACATCTGATCTCGTCATAATGTTGTTGTTGGAGCGGTAGCCAAGACGAGGCTATACGTCCCTCCAAAAGGCCTTGATACCCAATCACCTGTTGATCCAAGAAGGCCGGCCGAATCGAAGGAGGGATGGTCTGTTAGAATAAAGCAAAATGTGCTCTATCGTGAGTGCTTTTAGCGCTCAAAACAAACTCTCTGCAATCTAAATTCGTAATCGACTGTACAACACTTTCACGACAATAGTTCTCCTGTGTCTAGGTATACTTTGAGTGAAATTGTTCCTATTTGATTAATGTTTGGCTTGAATTGATG